CTGCAATGTACTGTTTTGGGTAAGTATTCTGATGACCAGTGGTCTTCATCAAGTAGAATACAGTAGACGCTTGTTGGTCTGATTTCCAGTCATAATGAATACGCGCCGTTTCTTCAGGTTTAAACGACATAATCGCATCACCCTGCTTCTAGAGACCCTCTAGGCAGTTCGTGGTTCCATGGTATTACTGCATCTGCAGTGCATGGATGCAACCTTGCATCACATTTGGGGTTCGAACACAAATCTGTTTGAACCAGTAACGGAAACACTTTACACTGTGATGTCGAAATCCTTGCGAGTCATCTCGCTGAAACCTGTCGATCAAGACACTTTCAGTCTGCTTCATAGGTTTGTCATGAATAGATAGTTATGCTTTCTTGATAAATACCTCAAGATGGGGTGGCGTTACAGTGGTTTATGTGGTAGCTGTGGAACTCAGAAAAAGAAAACGATTTCTCTTAACCGTAATTTGTCTGAGCAAATAATTCACCCCGCACCACTTCGGTACAGTAAGCCGCGAAAAGGTTAGCACCGCGCTGAAATGGTGAACTGAAGAATACAAACAGAATGTTGTTCCATGCTAGTCATTACTGGAATGAGCAAGATGTATGATCAGGGTTCTGGGAACGGGGAGGGTTAAAATTACTTTAACCCGCCCGGTAGATTACTATCCAGAGTGATAATGAGCACAACTTTTAAACCCTGTTATTGTCGCTTAAAACTAGGAAGCATTATTAACTTGCGCGGAGTAAATTTGTTTTACACTCTTCACCCATTGATCCCTGGAACTGAAGAAATTGGCTCGATCAAGATGAGTGAAAATGGCAGATATCGTAAGTTTATGACTTTGGAGAGGCCTTTATGTTGCAAGTAATCAAACAGTGACCGATGATGATGGTGACTTGCCCTTTGTGTTGATTTTTGGTCAGCTGGAGTGATTTGGGTCAAGTCGAATTGCAGCCATGAAACGTATGCATCAGGTGACTTGACTACACGCTGATCAGGCGCTCTGCTAGGAGCTCATTACAACAGTGTGCCATTCATATTATTTGCAGGTTAATAACTTGTTACTCGTTTCCGTCGAAGAACCGTATCATGCATTTTTGGCTTAAGGGCTCTATTAGGGCACTCAATCGGAAATTTATCGTTATGCATGGAATTTTAACCCAACACAGAAGGTTCGCCTAAGGCATCTAAGGCGCAAAGTAAACTACTGATCAGTCCCCCTCCCAATTCCGTTAAAGATTACGCTGAAGAAAAGCTACATACTTGCGTGAAAGAGTCATTCTTAATTCAATCAACATGAAATTATTTTTATTCTGATATGCTCTGTAAACCTCTAAGGTGTCATATTACATATCCCTTATCCTACGTGTCCTAGTTATGGGTGCAACATGAATGCAGTGGCGTCGACCTTCTACGAGAGTCTCTATTTCCTACTTTCTGCCTCCACCGCTGACTAACTAATTTGACCCTTGGAACATCCCAGTTTGTTCATGGGCGAACCAGGGGGCGTTTATGATCCAGAGGATACCAAGTAACAATTCTTTACGTCCACTTGTTGTCTCTCAAGCGAGCGGCATGACTTGTCTGCTTCTCTTGCAATCTTAGGAGGCTGTCGGTTGTCGAATTTGGGCACTCAGAATATGATCCCCGAGGGACACCTTGCACGTTTTTCGTTCCGTCACTTTTGATGTGAGCATTAGTTTGTTTTTACTCAGCATCAGTACCAGACCAATATTCACCGGTAAATCATGGTAGATAGGGCTGTTGAGTCGAACACTTCCTTATTCTCCCGCATGGGCAGCTCACGGTCAAGTAGTGATGTTTTAATATGATTAAAGTTGACCATGTAGCTCTTTCTTCGACCAACTTCTTAGTCTCTCGAGTTCATGCAATCCGCCTGCCAACCACCATATGCATAGCTTTTGGCTTCTTCGTCTCTATTCACGTAGTTAGAGCCCTCGGGGTAATGTTCGATTCGCATCAGTTTCCACTTCAAGAGGTGAACCTCCAACGGATGGTGAGAGATTCTTTTTGTAAGTGCTGGATTTCTGTTGGGGCTCATCGCCTCAGCAAATAACGTGCCTTAACGGCTCTCCATCAGCATTGATGCCTTTGAACCAGTTTAGTCGGTTGAGGAGTAAGTACAAGGTAGCAACGAAGAGTGCTGGTAAAATTGCATCTTTTTGACGCACTCCTCGATCGATACTTGAGGCGGTATGCTGAACTCGCTGAACTGCTTGGTGTCAGTTGTGCAATCAGTGTTAAGTTCTTCAATCAGGCTAACGTAAACAGGGTTTATATCATGATCATGCGATGAGTTTACCTCTGCAGTCAATTCTGTTGAATCAAACGCCTCATTGTCAATGAAAGCAAAACAAAGTGGCACTTGAATAATATCAAGTTACACTTCTCCGTCAGCTGTTTAACAACATGTCTATGGTTGATAATAGAAAACCCGCCTGTGTCTGACTTGTGATTAATTTGACGTTTTTCAGAATGCAGTTGAGAATTATGCGACTGAAGGATTTGTACACTTGTCACAAGAGTATTTACATAGCACAGGATATATTACTTATATCACATAAATTCTGGTCTTGGGCGAGTAATGCGCTTTATCAGATGTATCGTACTATATTAGTCGTTCACCGAACACTAACGGCCTACTTGATTCTTCCGGACTAGCAGTATCGTTGTTTCGATACGCGGAATACATCTTCGCAGCATTGCTCTTGATAGAGGGAGCCATTGAGAATCTGCGAAGGCAGTGTTTTGAAATGAATCGTCGCACACGCGTAACTTTCCCTCAATCCGGCATTGATAGGCTAGATTAGTGACCATGATGATGTGGCTAATTCGTCGGTCAATGTAGATAGTGCCCATGTTGCAGTCATCATCATACAGTGATGTTGATCCAGAACTGAGTTTCCTTAAATTTTAGGATTAAGCAAATAATTTATGGTTGCAGTAGTGCCTTTCGCTTGACCTATATAGATTTTCGCTTATTTTTTCACTTTTTTCTCAATATTAAATTGAGTTGCATTATTATGCATTTATAACGTTTTTCTTCTGATTAGATCTTCTTCGATACAGATAAAACTATTGTTGCATATGTTGTTTGACTTTCTGTTACATGTATGGCCCTTATCTAACAGTGGCAAGCAAATTGCAGCGACAGCTTGTTTTTTCTAAGGGCAAGAAGTGTCTTCCCTATAATGCATGTAAATAGACAAACTTCAAGGACAGCGGCTGCTCCGTTATGATCTGCCATGACTTTCATAACGATCTTTGTGCGTTTTCCGCCAAACAGCCTTAGAATACGAGACATGACGAAAAATATAAATTACCACTTCTTGGTGTGCTAACAGAAGGTAAGAAAAGGATATCATATTCCAAATGCTGTTGTTGTTTTCATTCTCATCTGAGGTATCAGGGTCGAGGACCAAATGCCCAAATTAATAAAGTCTGACGGTTTTCTTCTCAGAATCATTTAGGCGACTTTGGTTGCTGCGGCAAAGGTCATATTAATCGTTGCAAGCAAGTTCAGATCTAGCAGCTGCTTTAGAGTTTTACGTTGGCATCCCATGAGGCTGTGAGGATTTTTTGCTTCCCATAGGAGAATGCTTTTGAATAAGTGTCCATTCCCTCTCAGGATGGTTTTGTCAAACAACGACAGACGCCGGTCTTTGATTTTTTGCACAGCATTCTCAGGCCGGTCATCTTCATGATGATTTTATTCTTTATTCAAGGAACTATCGCACTTCGAGAATATTCCGCAGACAGCACTACTGAGAAGTGTCAACCATATTTTCATGGTGGATATCTGGAGGCTGTACATCAGAATTGAGAAGACGGTGGCCTTCAATATGGTGATCTTTTTTACTGCCCAGATGGATCGGTCTTGCCACACTTTAAAATGTCCCCCTGAAGTTTAAAGGTGCCATCCTTATGCGTCGCTCAAATTCCATCTCTTGCCAGTATGGAGCCGAGGTACTTGAAATTTTTGACCTCATCGATGATCGTTCCATTCCATTCAGTGTATTCAATCGGGGATGCCAGTCTTCCTTACTTTACCATGTCCAGGCTTCATTTGTGTTGCCCATGTTTCAAGGAACTTATGGTGAGCGGTAATCTTCGCTGTTATGTCATAAGTCATGACGGCCTTTCTGTTTTCTTTCCAAGGATATAAATACAGCTAGATAGCCATTATGATATGTGAACCTCATTTTTTCTACCCCGTCGTACTTATTTCAATCGAATTTACGACTCACGATCTGTCGACTGCGAATCCGACACTGCCTTTATTGTGCCGCGATCGTACACCCTAGCTTAAGGTTGCAAGCATATGCAAGTCCTGGCTCACAGCTCCTGCGAGTTATGTGGCCATCGAGCTTTCAACAGCTATGTGCGTGCAAACTTGTTATGACTTATGCTGAACTTGTTATTATCAATTGATACCGTTTTCTGTAGGTCATTAGTATTACATTGGTGGCAGTTGGCTCATGGTCGATATCCACGAAAATGAACGAGGGCTCGAGGCGAATGACGTCTGCATGGGACTTTGCATTTGACGCAGCTGTAATTTTCATCACCGTCGGTGTAATCGCCTTCGTGCTAGCTTCAGCCGGTTGCATCGGTGCTTTGCGGGAAAACGTTGTACTCCTGAAATTCGTGAGCATTGCTGATTCATTTTTTAAATATGTTTTTGGCCTACTATAACCTCACACAATAAGATCGGTTTAATGCTAAAATGCGATGAGACTTGAGCGATTAATGTGCAAAATCTTTGAAACAAATTTTACCCAGTATCTATTACTTTAAATTCTTTTTCCCCGCGCTCTGTATGTATGTATATCAAAGGCGTAACTCATTGTTTTAAAAGAGAAGAAAATTTATTCGGTTTGGCAAAGAAGTTCACC